AATAAGTATAAACTAAACTAATAGTATAGTCTATACTACTATTATAGTAGTATATATATATTATTATATATATATATATATATATATATATATATATATAAATAATAAATTAACATGAGGTAAAACAAATGGTGGTCAATACAGTAAAGCCATTCACTGTTATCCTAAACAGTATTCCAAGGAATTAAAGTTTGGATGTTTTTAGAAGGTCATGGTACTCTGTAAAACTTCTAAACATATAATCTGTATAGCAAAAGAAAATTGTTGAATTTCCCACAGAATTGAATGAATATTTTGTTTAAAATGTGCATGAGAAACCTCATTTATGAAAAATGAGATTGAGTTCATGAACTCTTGTAATGATGAACAAATTTTATTGTATCTAATATGCCGAGAATAGTAAACATTGAAATAACTTATTTGGAAATGGAAAGCTTATAACTTGAATCTTTGATTAGTAATGCTCATATCTAAATTCAGTTATTATGTTTTTTATTTAGTGGAAGAACTCTTTTTCTAGGGTTAGCTCTGGTGTATAAATTTGTATGGCTGTGTCTAGAAATATTGATAATTTAGTATTATAATATCATCTTTATATCTACAACTGCATCTGATTTACAAAGCTTTACTATAGTGTTTCATAGTAAGGTTCTTAATCTATAAAAGTTCTAGTCTGAATAAATACAGATCTGTAACTTATGGGCTGAAGTTACCCTGCCCCTATTGGAATTCCCTGTACTTGTTAAAAGACATTCTGGCCTTAATACACAAATGTATTATCTAGTAATAAAATCATAGCCTATAAAAATTCATTCAATGTGAAACATTAGTAATTTTTGTGATTAACATTGTGACAGAAAGTTCTGTGTTTATAGATGCAGTTTAATGATTTAATTGAGTTATTAAATGATCTTGAAATTGTTGATAAAAACTTTTTAATTTTATCAGTTGAAAGAATAGTTGTAAAGATTTTTTTTTTTCCCAAGCAATAATCCTTTATTTGTATGGTGTTTTATGTTATATGTGAATCCAAATTAATCTGGATATAGCATTGTTTGATTGAACCAATTGTACACCAAAGTTTGATAAAAGTGAAATGTGTTTATTTATGATACTTTATATGTCCATATTAGTGTTAAATAAACCTTGTTATCCTAGGGTATTATGTATTGAAATAAAACCCTAGTTCTTTACATAAAATTGTAATATAAAGCGTTTTATAAATAGAAACAAATTTGTTAATTATTATATTTGTGGGAATGATGATTTATTTACTTTGTGGATAATTTAAATGCTCAGTAATTTATTTCTTACCCATAACATGTTCATTGTTGTTAGTGATTTTCTTTAAATGTGTTATGCATTTATTAATTATGTATTTATATATGTATTTACCTAGTTTTTGAAGTGGATTACTTTTAAATTGTCATTCTTACTGTATTTATGTAAAACTTTACTGAATGATGTACTAATTACTTTTTTGGTGTGTTTCCAAATAATTCTTGGACATTCTTAGAATTTTGTACCTTTATTCATTATTTTTTAAACAATGGCTAACTTCCAATATGGTACATTACCTCCATTCACATAAATAGCTATTCTTGTTCAGTGCTGCCTTGTATATGAAAAGCATTTTTTAACATGCAACAAGCCTTGAGCTCTCATCTACCTTATAATCAACTGATTCAAATGCATCATGTAAATCATCATGTGACTCCCTCTATTCGATATTACAGACCTATCAGATGTTTTTGTTGTGCTCTTTGAGTTTGTTCAACTTTGTGATTTTTTTATTATTCCAAAGTGTTTTGTTTTCATTGTTTTTCAACAGATAACGACTTTTGAGATAACTTATTTTCCCAGTTTTTAATTTTTTTTCCATCATGCAATTGTGTTTGATTTTCATTTTCACACAATAAATTCTGAAGTTCAAGTTACCACTTTGGAGATCATACCTTCTACTAGCACACTCACACAGGCTACAGGTGGAGGGGACTCATCCTTGGATTTATTGGCTACCATCCACCGTGAGATTGATTGTTATATAAATCAACCTGCTTCTCCTGATCTTGTCCCTACTCCTTCTGAACGTGCCAAAATTGTTCGGGTCGACAAGGATTTTGATAGCCTTTTTCCTCCACCTGTTTTTGCCATGTCTTCCTATGCCCCTTCTGTGGAATCAGCTAGGCCTAATATGGCTTTTTTAGACATGATTTCTCAAGTATGTTCTATTTTATCCATTTCCCCATTTTTGTATAACCCCGTTCTTCTTTGTTACATGATACTTCCTCCTCTCATTATTTGGTTTTTCCTCTTCCACAGATATTAGGGTTCATGCTGAGCATTTTGTTTCCTTGATGGTTGAGGGTGCCAGCATGCCTTGCCCTACCATCCAGATAGAATGTCCATTTCTCAATTCTCAACAGTTAGAATCAATTTTGCCCATTTTGTCCTGATCATCATGTTCTTTTATCCCACGCCCAATTTTTCTGTCTTCATCTTACCCTATTGACTCTCCTATCGTACTCGTCTACTTTCCACCTCCTTTCCAAGGCAATTCACAAACATCCTGAGCGGTTTTTTAGGGGATTACCTCTCCCTGATTACCTCCACATTGGCACATTTGTCTTCTTCTGCTCTAGCCTTACACCCATGGTTTCTCTGTTGTTAGGATCTTTTGGGGGAGGGATGTAGCCTTGTTCCAGGTTTGTTTACCACCTACTTATCAGCACCTATCCAAAGCAGTACAAGATCTTCTCTTCCAGCAAGCCATCGAACCTGTCAATCATCCTTCTCCTAGTTTTTATTCCATGTTTGCAGTACCCAAGAAAACTGGGGATTGGCGATCTGTGGTCGATTTGTCCCACCTCAATCAATTTTTGGTTCTACCCAGATTTACCGTGGAGTCTTTTCTCACCCCCTCAGGTGTGCTTTTTTTCCGTGTTTCTGGATGACTAAGGTGGAGATCGCGTATGCTTACATGTATATCCCGATATCTCATCAGTTGAAATGCTATCTTCAGTTTATTCAACACAGTGTAGCTTATCAATTTCATGCCCTGCCCGTTGGGCTTGCTTCAGCCCCATATGTCTTTTATAAGGTGGTCAAGACAATCACCCGAAATTTACACGTTCGGGGTTGCACTTCCATCATTACATGGATGACTGGCTTCTGTTAGCTTGTTCCGAACAGGAGTCCAACTTTCACACTCATCTGCTGCTCATGGAGGCAGCTTGTATGGGTTGATTAATCAAGTTGAAGAAGTCATTCCTTATACCTATCCAATATCTTGTCCATTTGAGTGTCCTTTTCAATACTCATCTCAGTTGGGCCCAATCTTCTCCTCTACGACTTTGTTCAATGGAGTTTTCACTTCTCCATGCCCTTACTGCTCCCTCTCTTACAGCCTGTGAGGTTCTATCACTTTTGGGAATGTGATCTTCCATGGAAGCCCTTATCCCCTTGGGTCAAACACATATGCAGTCTCTTCAGTGGACTCTCTATGACCAATGGAATCTTGTGGAGGATCCATTGGAGGCTCCTCTTTCTCTCTCTTCTTCCCTTGTAGATGATCTGCATTGGTGGTTGGACAAGGCTCACATGTCAGCGGGTGTTCCACTTCCTCCTTGTCTGGATTTACATATCTTCATGGATGTGCCATACGTTAATAATGTGTTAAATAAAATACTTGTTTTTCAAGTATGTCGGATAGATCTTGTAAGTTTTTAAGTTTAAACTTTATTATGTGTCACTCCCTTAATAGTGAAGGTACTTCTGAATATATAAAACCATCAATCAGTAACACAAGAAATCGGAGTTATTCCAGTTTTAGAAAACAACCAAGATATATAATCTTTAAAAGTAGCTACTGCAGTAATAACATCCAAAAAATGTAGGGGGATATCTTGTCTCACCAGTACCTACTAAACACAGGTGAAAAACTAGTGATGATACAGTGGTTATGACATAGGTGCTTAATTCCACAACATTCTGAGGCTGGGTTACACTAAGATGTCCATGGACATTTGTGGGTACAATAGTAACCCCTTAAGTACCATGCAGTTATACTGGTAGTGTAATATAATACTAAATTAACAATATGTTTACAATAATTATTATATTACATGAAAACACCAAACCACCCACTTTTAAAATCTTAATGATTCACAATTTATTTAAAGATTCAGGCCTCTCCTTGAACCTATTAAAGCCTATATTTTGAAAATGGTACTATTTTTTTAAATATTAATTTTGGGTAGTTTGATAGTTTATAGGGTTGTTTTGAAAAACCTTTTTTTATAATTTTATCTTTCACTATTTCCTTCTGAATCATTTTTTTAATTCTTAATCTCCCTAAACTCTTTTTCTCATACATCCACTTTCATCCTATTTTTTTATTACCTTAAAGGTGAAATCCCACTCATACCTATAATATTACTCTGTAAAACCAATCAACACATTTATGTTTTATCAGTGTGGGCTACCATAAATATTCACGACTGAAGATGATCTTATTAAGTTATTCTTCCTACATATTCCCAATTCATCCTTGGAAAAGGAAGGTCTAACTTCCAAAGTGCCCTGATAATCAGGTTCTTTCAGAGTATGATCTACCTACAGTGTTTTTAATTATGATGTAAGTGGTAATTAAAATGTTGGTGGTGTTAATTAATCTTGAATGCCTAGATAATAAAACTAGTGCAATTTGATAAGGAATGTAAAACTCTGATTAGGTAGTTGTTAGTTTTCCTTAACTTTATCATTATTGTGATGCCAAAGATCATTTAGTACTTATATCTTGATCTTTTTGACACATCTTTATGAGAGTGGGTATACTCTCAAATATCTACCATTTCTGTAGAGTGAAAGGTTACTAAATTGATAACTCATAAATCCTCTATAACAGTAAATATATGTAACCTGACTTCCATATTTCATTGTTGTTGTTTTAAATTATTTATATTGCTAAGTTAAGAATTTATTTTTTGTTTTGTTTTTAGGAATAAAACCTTTTAGGTGTACTGTATGTGGAGACACTTTTACCAGACAGCATAGCCTGAATTATCATATGTTAATCCATAACAATAAAAGCCGTTTTGTATGTTTGGAATGTGGACGCAACTTCCGCCACCCCAGTCACTATAAGGAACATCTTAGGAGGCATACTGGTGAAACTCCTTATGAGTGTGGAGATTGTGGCCACAAGTAAGTTCTTCAAAAAAAAAGTTAGACAATGTATTCAAACTTCTAAATACTTGCAGTTTTGGTTTTACTCTTAGCTTTAGTATTTGAATGGATAGCTGTATATATGTTAAAGTTTATTTCATTAATATATTAATTTGAGTAGCTCTAAGAATAAATCAGAATAAATAATAAAAATAAATATTTACAAGTTTTATATTCTAGAAGTTGACTGTAATGACTCAAATAGAAAGTAGAATGAATTATGAATATCAGTTCTTTAGTGGTAGACAAACATTTAAAACTAATTTCAGTGAATTATTTAATAAATACAAGTACATTCTTGGAATTTCAGGTTAGCACTTTTTCATGGCATTTCATAGTAAATACATTACAATTCCCTGTATCACTTTGACATGGAAAAACAAATATATAAAAACTGTTGATCCAGTCTAAAAGTAAAATTCTCTCTTTTGTTAAATTTAATGAGATTCTCAGATCCTGTGCTTATTAAAAGTATAGACTGGATGCAAATTTGGGTTGACCATTCACGTGAAACAGTAAAGGTTTTCCTTTTGTCTGGTTCATGTTGTTTTTAGTCACAAGTCATATTTTTGCTTATTTTTTTCACTTACATTGTTTGGTATTATCTATTAGATTCAAAACAAGAAATACATATAAGCGTCATTTGAAAACTCGGCATGGAAAAATGCTTACAGCACAAGGTATTATCACTTTGGCACTGGATGAAATATGTGAGGTGCAGAGTTCTCCAAGGAAGAGGAACCGCCTTGTACGTAAAAAAAACAAGTCTACCCAGTGGCCTGAAGTGAAATACTACAGAGAGATTGATCCCCATATACTGACAGGTACATGTAATGCTGAATGGAACTCATAATGAACTTTTTTCGTTGTTGTTTTGTCAGCTTTCAATTGTTAAAAATCCCTGAGAATTTTAAAATATCCCATTTTTGATTCATAATACTGTTAATATGTTGTATTATTTCTATCAAAATCTGAAATCATCATGATTTTTTGGGGTTTTTTAATGCAATTCCTAATTGTAACAAAGAAAAACAAGCACATAAAGTGATTGTTGCTATGAGACACATATATGTAAATTGTTAAGAATTCAAAAGATTTATGTTGAGGACCCTTTAATTATGTAAATTGTTTTTAAAGGAATGTTCTATTAACATAGTCCTAGAATATGCCAAAAGTAGTATTTGATAGTATTTTCATACAATTTTGTTATCAGTACTGATAAATTGTTATAAATTTCTTTCTTTGAAAAATATGTCACATAATTTTAAATGAAGTTGCTTTATATATATATATCAACAGTCAGAAATTTTAATAACAACTAATTATCCTTGTATCAGAAACAATGCTAATTTTTGCAGTACATTATAATTAATATTTAATAAGCAATTTAACATTTATTGATAGATTAAACATTTCAGTAAATTTTCTCTAAGTTTCTGAAAGTGATCATGAACAATGTATTTGAGCTTAATAATATGTCCTTTTTTTTCATAAGAAAAAAATTCCTATTACATTGAATTATTGCTTCAGTGCCGTATTCTTTAAAGAAGTAGTACTATAAACTTACAAGATATTTTTTGCAGCACAGTCTCAATAACTTATTTTAGTGTTGAACTTTGGTGGCTGCTTGTATGTAAAAAAAAAGTGAGAGTCGTGTTCCTGACTCATGTAAGAAATGTGATATACAGACCTTGGACCAAAAGTTAGGCATGATCTTTTATAATTGTTTTAAAGAACTTTGTACATAAAGAAAGTTTCTGATAATGCCTTTTTTGTCATAAATATGTGTATGAAAACAACAGCAAGTGCTTACCACTATGGCTTTTGATAAGTTATTGTTTGTTTGTCAGCCAGAAAGATAATGTAACTTATTAATACCAATCATTTATAGTTAGATTAGAAATGATCTCATGAAATGTTTTGTGTATTGGGGGGAAAAAAAAAGTTTTCGAAGACAGCTATTAGGTGGAACTAGTTAAGTCTGTAGTGACATTTTCTTTTTTTTAATGTTGAACAGTGTTGTCTTGAACATAATTAGAGGCTCAAATTTCACTTTATGATCCCTTAAGTACACAAGATACTAGCTGCTGATGATGTTATATGCTTTTGTACTGGGCAGCAAATGTTGAAGAGACAAAAAAGATGAGTGTAGAATTTTTTGTGGCTAGTGTTTCTATTGTATTTTATTTATGTTGTCTCAAGGTCGTATTACAAATGTAAAAGTTTTCAACTGTGTGTTGTTATGGTTGCTGCTGAATCGTTTCTCTCCTTTTTTAGCTTATAAGATATTCAGTTAGTAGATAATTAAAGCTTTACATAGTTTTAAGAATTTATCAAATAAAATAGTCTACTCAAACTGCCGTAGTCTTGAAAAATAAATATTGGATATTCAATTTATTCTCAATTGATTATAATGTATCATTAATCACTGCCCATTGTTACATTAAGTAAGGGGTGTCTTTAATAACCATTTTATCAAAAGCATCTGTACAAATTCAATAGTTGATGCAAGGCTGTAAATGAGAGTAAAATGATGGGATGGATTCTTTTTTTACAAATGTATCTTATTCTTCCAGCCTTTGGAAAATATTTAAAATATATGAGTACAGTTTGTAAGGCTCTTATAACTATTATATTTCAGTTACTTTTCTTTAATAGAGAACTTTCGAAAAAGTGAATCAGAATAGGTTTATAAAACAAAGTTTCTTTCTTGATTTGTTCATCAGCTATTAAAACACATACTTGGTGAACATACCAATTGTACTACAATATAGTTAACACATATTGTATGCCTGTCAACCGGATTTCCTTAATATATGAATGTGGTCTCATCAGTTCTTTACTTATGCCACAGTGAACACACACACATTCTTTACTTACGACAGTAACAGACAAATGTTTTTCCTTACAATTAAACCCTTGCTTATCATAAGGGCATACTTGGTACATGTACATCCACTATTCCTATACCCAGGAACCATATAGGGTTTTTTACACTGAATCCAATGATATGTGATTTGTATGGGATTTTCTTCAATGAAATATGCAAATCAATCCTGTGTAAAAGTTTGACACTTTGTTAAATTTTACAATTTTCTTTCATTCTTGGGAATACAAAATTATTTGAAAGATTTTAAAAAAGTAGAAACTCAAGAGTCCAAATTGAAGGTATTTGTATTTTTAAAGTATAGATATTCATCTATTCCTAACTGTTGAAGTATATAAGTGAAAAGTATTTAAAAATGAAGTGTGAACCAAGAATAGAAAATCCAAGAGACAGTTTTACTAGTGCAAGACATGAAGAAACTTTGATAATTTTAAGTGATATATTTTTGATCACAAAATAATTAATGGCAAGGATAGATTCAAAAGCTATATAAAAATGTTTCAGATAATAATAGGATGTTGTAAAATGTAACATTTTTTAATTCAGCCTTGCATCAAAATTTTAATGCTTTGATAATAAATATTTTGCTTTTGTTTATCATCTCATTATAAATTAAGCTAAACCTGAATCAGTAAAAGTCTGTTAGAACATTTAGTTTTGCAGGGTGGCCACAAACCTGGAAAGTTAGCAAACTTAAAACAGGGTCAAAAACCAGAAAAAATATATATACAAATATGTAAAAAGTCGAGAACAATTGTGGGTCCTTTGTGGGTTTTTTAACACCAGAACCTGCATGTACATGAACCTTGTTATGTAGCTATACCAATTATTCATATATTTTAATATAATTTTGATATAATCATGGTAAATCAGGCCATGTTATTTAACCTGATGGTAATTATCTAATCCATGTTATTTGATAATAGGTTAGATCGAATATTCTTTTATGAATAGAAATGGAACAAGCTTTTGCCTATCATCAAGTTGCAATATCCTTGTTTGAAGATTTCTGTAGTCCCATAATCTGAAGTATGATCTAAAGAGTTTTTATTGGGTAGAATTATGAGGAAATATTCAAATATTAGAGTATCACATGTGTGCATTGTGCTGATCTGGAAAATTTGGTATTTTGCGTGGAAAGTAAAAAAACATTATAATACATGACCACCTTTTGTTTTGTTTTCTAGCTTTGTAATCAACAAGAGAAATACAAATTTAGTGTTTTGGTTATAAAGAAAATGGCAATAGTTTATATTTTAGTGGAAGAATTAACACGTATGTTACCAGTGTATTTAGAATATTACATTTAAAGAATCCCCAATTTAATTTTGTCCACAAAATAAAAATGCTTTTGGCTAATAAAAATGAATTCTCTGCTTTTGATCCAAGTGGGCTAACTATAGTGGTGTGTAATAAATGTTTTTAATTGGGTCCACAACCCCTCCCCCCTCTTCTGTTTTCCAACCCAGGAACAGTATGGACCTTACTTTAAATACATAACAAACACATCAAGTAAATTTGAAAGTGGATTCTCTTATGTTGTTTGTAGTAGAGTACCCTTGCAATTTAAGTGGGTAATATCTACTAGGTGGCATTGAAAATGGCCACCAAAGAATCAATGTGTACTTTAAAATATGATACCTACATACTTGATTTCTTCACTGTATTATAACATTTTTCAACAGTCCCAGCACACTTAAAAACTGTCAACACCAGAAATGCTTCAGATGTGCTGCTTGGTCAAATAGATAAATCAATTAAGCCAAACTAGCAACTTGCACTTGCTAATATATATATATATATAATGTTTTGTTTTACAAAAGGTTACATTAAATTATTTGACAATGTCATTGATGTGTGATTTTTAATGTTATGTACTTAAATTCTTTCAGGAAAATGACACAACATTGTCAGCCTACTTGAAGGAGATCATAATAAGAAATAAATGCAATGTTGAAAACCATTCTCAATACCCAGTCTCACAAGATGTACAAAAATTATAAACTGTCTGCTGGGAACTGTTCAGTTTGCCACAAAGACTGCTGTGATCCATGAGAGGAGAGAAAAGATTCAAAGGCATGGCAGGACATAAAAGTATTTGGCTGAGAAATGGAAAGGATTGGACAGGTATGAAGGAATCTTTAAGGAAGTTGACTAGGACAGTGGACTAAATGTGTTCTTTCTTCACAAAGGCTGTAGCTCATGAAAAAGGCAGCTGAACAATAACAGTAGAGTCAAGTGGAAGTGAATGATGCATCTAATGTTCTTTTACTCCAACTCCTTGGGGATATAGATGTCTTTAAGGCTTCTTGCACAATAAAGTTTATCCATGAAACCTGAACACAGTAAGCATCCAAATAGAAAGTGCTCTTAAGTTGTTGCTTATAGACTAAAAAATGTAGTCTTGAATGGTTCTCATACAAGATGCAGATATATGGGAACATATTCTTAATTTCATCAGGGAGTGTTATGATCCTCATTGTAAGAGAAGTTAGATACCTTAAAGATTTTTATAAAACCATGTATGGAAACCTAAATTCATTGCCAAAATTATCTTCTGGTACTTCCTTACAACTACATGTTTTTCACATTTGGAAAAGTTGAAATTGATGAGAAGGTTTTTATAATTTTGTAATAACCCAGTGAGCACTGTTGGTTCTTTATTTACAATTGTGCACATTTAAGTGCTTAAAGAACAGATATGAAATCTCTCATTTTCTAACTTTTTAACAAGATATGTATTTTTTTTTTTACAAAACATTTCCTAATACATTGAATTAGTGGTTCTGGGTGGTATTTTTAAAAGAAGTACTATAATTTACACATCCCCGTCCCACCAAACATGCTTGCCCTTTCAGCCATGGGAGTGTTATAATGTGATGGCCAATCCCACTATTCATTGGTAGAAGAGTAGCCCAAGAGTTGGTGGTGATGAATAGCTGCCTTTCCTCTAGTCTTTCACTGCTAAATAAGGGATGGCTAGCGCAGATAGCCCTTGTGTAGCTTTGTGTGAAATTCATAAGAAACCAAACAAACTATAATTTACAAGATATTTTCTATAGGTTATATATTAACTCTTAAGATATTTTATGGTATCTAACTTCTGTGCAAAGGAATCATAACTCTCCCTGACAATGTTGAAAATATATTCCTTTCTTTCCTCAACTTGTATGAGGACCATAGAAAATTTTAACTTTGATTGCATATTTTTTACTTTTTAAGAAACAATTTGTAGTATTTTCTAATTGAGTGCTTACAGTTCTTCAGGTTTCATGCAATATATGCATAAATGTTTGTAATGAAAGAAGCCTTTAGGGCATTTGTATCTACCAGAAGGTTGTGGTAAATGAACATTA